AATCGCAAAAAAACCCCCAAAAAACTGGTAATAAAAGATTGTTCTCAACATATCCAATCCGTAATAGTGAAAGAAAGTGAGACAGACAGACAGGCAGATAGATAGATAGATAGATAGATAGATAGATAGATAGATAGATAGATAGATAGATAGATAGATAGATAGATAGATAAATAGATAGATAGATAGATAGATAGATAGATAGATAGATAGATAGATAGATAGATAGATAGATAGATAGACAGATGGAGAGAGAGAGAGAGAGAGAGAGAGAGAGAGAGAGAGAGAGAGAGAGAGAGAGAGAGAGAGAGAGAGAGGGTGGGGGTGGGAGGGAGGAAGAAGACAGAAATGAACGTTATTACAGCCGTTTCCCCCCAGCTGGTGGTTATTACAGCCGTTTCCCCCCAGCTGGTGGGGGGCCCTGTAGTTTTACTATGGGGGAGCAAAGAATACACAAAAGTGCATAGGTATGGTGGCCCGAAAAGTGCCAGTTTGCGGAGGGACAACTACCCAACCCAGTAAAAAACAGTAAGTTACAGAAACACGGACAAACACAGCTTTTTATCTTTCGATCTTGGGAGACGGAGGAGCTTCTGCATCAGCAGGAACAATGAAGGACAGCGGACAAAGCCGAAAGGACTCTACTGACCCGAAACCTTCTCTGTCGAACAAGTCTCTCCGGATTGCGTCGTGGGATGTTGGCACCTTGTATTAAACAGGAAAGATTCTCAAGTAGTACAAGAGATGAAGAGATACGGGCTGCACATACTAGGGGTCAGCGAAACACACTGGACACAGTCTGGACAGAAGCAGCTCAGCTCGGGGGAACAAGTATTGTATTCTGGGAGGGAAGACAGGTAGGCTACCATGCGGAAGGAGTGGGAATCATTTTGAGTAAGTATGCACAGAAGTCACTTAGAGGATGGGAACCACACGGGGAAAAGATCATCATGGCTTCATTCACTTCAAGGAGCAAGAGCATCAACATGAATATAGTACAGATCTACGCCACAACAAATGATGCTTCGGATGAAGACAAGGATGCCTTTTACAGCCAGCTCCAGGGGTCATCGATAAACTGCCAAGGAAGGATGTCAACATCATAATGGGAGATGCCAATGCCAAGATTGGTCAGGACAGCATGGGTATGAAAGAATTATGGGACAACATGGCTTGGGACTAATGAATGAGAACGGGGAGCGATTCGCAAATATATGTGCTTTCAACAGTTTTGTTATTGGAGGCTCTGTTTTTCCCCACAAGAGGATCCACAAGGCCACATGGGTTTCGCCAGATGGAGTGACGGAGAACCAGATAGATCATTTTTGTATCTCTCGTAAGTTCAGGCGTTCACTGGAAGGTGTCAAAGTACAGAGAGGGGCAGATGTTGGATCGGATCATCATCTGTTGTTGGCAAAACTCAAGCTTCGACTCAAAAAGCACGGAACCAGCACAGGAATCAAAAGAACCAAGTTCCAAGTAAGTGTCTTGGACGGACACAGGAGAGAAGAGTTTTCAGCTGCCGCTGAGTAACAGATTTCAACCTCTGGCTGATCTTGGCAGTGAGGACACGGAGGTGGATACACACTGGACCAAGGTCAAAAAAGTCTTTACATCAACGTGTCAAAAAATACTCGGTGGGAAGAAATGGGAGCACAAGGAATGGATTAGCCAACACTCATTGGGTTTAATTAGGATAAGAAGACAGGTGAAGGCAGAAGCGAATGCAAGTAGAACAAGAGGATCAAGAGCGGATGCATTGGAGCAGTACAGGATAACAGCTAAAGATGTGAAAAAATCAATAAGAAAAGACAAGGAGGAAATCATGAACAGGCTAGCAGAGAAGGCAGAGGAAACAGCGATAGGAGGGCACATGCGAATCCTTTACCAGACCACAAGGACACTTGCTGGAAAATATCTCATTCGCTACGCCGAGCCGTGGGGGGCGGCGCGGCTAGAGTGCCGTCAGTACGCTTAGCCGCCCCCTTCGGCTCGAGAACTGACGTTCAATTTTAGCCTGGTTTTTATTCCAATCCACATATCCATGTTAAAATAAAAGTCATAATATAAAGTTGACTTCCGGGTCAAGCTTTTCCACCGAAAATCGGAAGTTTTGATTCAGTTTTGAAACACAATTTCGAAGTTTATGCGACATTGTTTTATCGTGAAGCCCAAATTATAACCAGACACCAGTCTTTGTACTTTTACACAACAAAATGTATCATTATTTTGCTCACTAAAGAAGTGTAGGACTCTTCTTATAATATTGATACTACTGGACTCAAATTGCCAGTGCACTGTAATTGAGAAATCAATATTTTTCAGTGCTAGATCTAGGCCTAGATCTAAATAGTCAAAATATTTTTTTTTCTCCCCAAAATCACTACTTTTTGGTGAATTTACTCAAAAAGTACCATCCAAGACATGTATAGGTTTATTCCAAATGCAATTCTGAATAATTCCATATAAGATACGAGTGTTTTTTTCTGTTCGGGATCTTTTTTTTTAAATTATTTAAAATTTTTTTTTATCAATATCGGAGGTTATGATCCAAATGTACAAATATTATGGAATGTATGTAAATAACTGCTCATTTTTCAATATTTTCCTGTTCTATATACAGTTACGGTTATTTTGATGTATAATTTGATTAGGGGCAAACATATTTTTTGAGTTTCAACTGAGATTATAAGTTTTTTGTTTTCAAATTTTATCCGCAGCCAATCACAATTGTGTTACATAATCGCCTCTTACAGTACCAAAGTTGAAAAATACTCAAATAAACAATACAGATGTATTCTACAAACCATACTGAAAATGTTGGTATAAATATTATGTTGATATTTATTTGAATTTATGGCCCCCAAGACCTGTGAACTGCGCACTAGTCATCATCTCATTTCGCCCTCCCGAAAAAATTCGTCCACAAGCCGAGAATAATACGTAGCGAATGAGATATGGGAAACCTGAAGTACATGTAAAGGACCAAGAGGGGAAAAGCATTTTTGGAAAGGAAACTCAGTCTAAACGATGGGTAGAGCATTTCAACAGTCTCCTGAACAGACCACCACCGAGTAACCCACAAAACATGCTACCAGCCAGAAATGAGTTACCTATCTGCTGTGATGCTCCTTCAAACAAGATATTCTGGATGCCATTAAGAAGCTGAACAAAGGTAAAGCAGCCGGTCCCGACCAGATTCCACCTGAAGCCCTTAAAGCAGATGCCAGTGTGACGGCAGACATCCTCCTCCCACTGTTTACCAGGATCTGGAATGAGAGCAAGTTCCCAAAGGATTGGAAAGAAGGACACCTCGTGAAGTTTCAAAAAAGGGGGATCTCAGCAACTGCAGCAATTACAGAGGGGTCACTCTTCTCTCAATACCAGGTAAAGTCTTCAACAGAATCATTCTGGAGAGAATCAAGACAGGAACGGATCCAAAGCTATGGGATGAACAGGCCGGTTTCCGGAAAAATGCTCAACCACCGACCAGATTGCCACGCTGAGGATTTTTGTGGAACAGTCCCTGGAGTGGAACTCCCAGCTGATTGTCAACTTCCTTGACTATGAGAAGGCCTTTGACAGTATAGACCGAGCGACACTTTGGAAGATAATTCGACACCACGGAATCCCACAGAAGTTGGTGAACCTCATCAAGAGCATGTACGAAGGGACAAGTTGCAGGGTTGTACATGATGGCCAGCTCACTGACAGCTTTGATATCAAGACTGGTGTGAGACAGGGATGCTTACTATCACCGTTCCTCTTCATATTGGCAATCGACTGGCTGATGAAGGAAACCACCAGAGGACACAGAAATGGTATACAGTGGACACCATGGACACAGTTGGACGATCTAGATTTTGCAGACGACTTGGCGCTTCTGTCGCACACCCAGCAACAGATGCAAGCAAAGACTTCAGTATTAAACAACCTATCGGAGTCTGTTGGATTGAGGATCCACCCCGGAAAGTCAAAGGCCCTAAGGACAGATGCACAACGAAAGGAGCAGGTCACAATAGAAGGAAAGGCCCTAGAAAACGTTGAATCCTTCTGCTATCTTGGGATCATAGTTGACAGAGAGGGAGGAACAGGTGCTGAAATAAAGTCTCGCATTGGAAACACACAGGCAGCTTTCATATCTTCTATAGGATTTGGAAGACCAGAGATATGTCACTTCGAACAAAGCTGAGGATTTTCAATTCAAACGTGAAGTCGGTCCTGTTGTATGGATGTGAGGCATGGAACGCTTCACAGACTTGTATAAAGAGGATCGGGGTTTTCTTGAACAGGTGTCTAAGAAAGTTACTGAGGATCAGATGGACAGACAGGGTCACCAATGCGGAAGTGTTAAGTAAAACAAGACAGATCCCAGTCAGAGATGAGGTAGGAAGAAGGCGGTGGCTATGGATTGGACATACTCTCAGGAAGTCAGGCAGCTGCATAACAAAGAAAGTTTTGGATTGGAACCCACAGGGCAAGAGATCAAGTGGAAGACCTCGTGGAACCTGGAAAAGAATCACAGGAATCGATGTACAGAAAAGTGGGAAGACATGGAATAACATCAAGAGGCTAGCCCAGGATACAGAAAAGTGGAGCGTGTTTGTCCGTGGCCTATACCCTGGTGCAGGGGGAGAAAGGCAATGATGATGATGACATTGAGCATTATCTTAGTGGAAATGGGCTATGGAAGTAAAATTGACTATTGTTGTTTTTATTTTCTTTCCCATTTTCTCTCTGTCTTAAAACGTCCTTTCAAATGAGTATCTTAAACACACATATCCAGCCTCCTTATTGAGAGGCACTTAAAAGAATTCATGAAATCGATTTTGAAGATGAGTGTGAGTATGGTGATTTTTATCAAATCGATTACTCCTTCCACCCCTAAAAAGAGAAAGATGAGAAGAAAAGTAGAAATAATTTTTTACTATAGATAAATACAAAATAGATAGCAAAAAATAAAGGGTAGATCTAAGTTTTAAAAAGTAAAAATAAATTACAAAGCAAGTTGAGAGCCAAACAAGAATCGTTGTTCAGCGCCGAAGAAATTCTCTTAGGAACCAGCACAGTCACGTGACAATATGACGCCACTTGGTAACGGCTATTGTTCCCCTTGAGTGATTGATTTCGACAAGACGTGATTGCATATTCCGAGTGAAGAAAAAGATTTCTTGCATCCACAAAGTTCCAAAGTTTGAGTAAAGTTGCACTGTTTTGATTATTTTCAAGTTCCTGTATTTTTCAACATCCGTTTTGATTGTGTGCTTTTTGTAGTGCGTTTAATTTCTACATAAGCGTATTTGAGTGTTTTGGTTTTTGGTTATTTCATTGTTTAGTTAAGTTTAGTTGAGTTTTTTTGCTTGTTTGTTTGTTTGTTGTTTAAGTTTGTTTGATTGTTTGTTTGTTTGTTTGTTTTGCGTCGCTTTTGTTTGAGTATTTGCACCACTTGTTCTTTTTGTATTGGTAAGTGAAGAGAGAAAGAGAAAGACGGTGAGGAATTGAGGAATAAAGTCTCTCAAAGGCTCAATCGTAAGTCTCTTCTTTTCTAAAGTACGGCTGGTGGTTAGTTTTAAGCCCAGCGATGAAGCGTATACGTAAACTTTTCTTGTCTTGTTTCTCCTCCTGTTGCAGGGAAGAAAGCAGCGGCCAGCTGCACTCAGGAGACTCTCAAGATCTCCATCTCTCCCTGGAAAGCAGCTGCTCAAGCCAGCTGAACGAAAACCTTGCCGAATGCCCTCGTGGTGATCAAGCCAGATTGGAGGACCACGAGGTAAACCATACAGGTGCAGAACTGTCTGACTCACCCAGTGAGTATTCTATTTTCAGTAGAGACGGTTGCACAAGAATACCGGCATTGCACCTACCGTCAGGCCTCCTTGACGAAGATCTACACCTCTCACTACCCTCCAACTATGAGAGCGAGACGGACTCTGAACAGCCGGAAAACTGCCACGATGATTGCGCGAGTCACACTCTAGAGGCCTCCACGTATCGTGTTACGTGGACACCAGTCATCCATGTTTCGTATGGCCTTGCAGGTCAGTATCTCATCAACAGGCCGTTCCGTAGAGCAACAAGCGGCGATCAAGAGGTCCAATCCTATAGCTCGAGCTCGGAGGAATGCTTGCCTGCCTTCTCTCCACAGCCACCACAGCCTGCTGACAAGTTGTGTGTGGAGGAAGCTGACATACTCGAGTGCGTTTCCTTATTGTCCGAAACTGGTGCAGACTGACAATTTCAACGAAACTGTAACGGTGAATGTGATTTACCTCTAGCTAAGAAACAACTACCCCCTACCAGACCCCCCCCTCCCTGTTCTCTTCCCTCTCTTGTGTCCTCTTCCTCACGTCCACCCTGTCTTTTCTTGTCTTCTCCTGTTTAGCTTTTGAGTTAATGGACGCTGCTTCTTGGACCTTTTTTTCTGCAATCAAACATTCTGACTTTGTTATTGTCCATGCCTGAATTGTTTTAATTCCATACCATGTTTCTGAGCACAACTCCCATCTTCTGCTAAGCCAATTCCTTCCTCTTTTTCTTTTTACCTTTGCTTTTAGAATATCTTTCTATGATGATCATTCTATTTGATGCATTCAACATAGTTTAGGTTCATTATCATTATGCTCCTTAAGGAGTGTTGGTGTTTCTATTTCCTATTTCCTTTCATATTCATTCGTTAGTTTCTGTCTTCAGTATATTTTTAAAAATCTTCTTGTCTCTTGATGTTCGTTGCTTCTTAATGTTGTGGTGGGAATGCAATACTGCTTAGGATTCTTTTTTCTGTCATTGCAACGTGCTTTCCAGATAAAATTTATCCTTTTCTATTTTTATGATGCAGTTTAAATTCTCTGGAGTTGTTTTCTCATTCTCTTTAATCTTGGCTCCGCGGTATTTATAAATTGCTTTTTGCTATTTCTTCCTCACAGTTCTTAATATAACATCTTTGCATTTGCATGAGTCTGTCATTTCGCATTTCTTTCCATTTAGATGAATTCCGTTTGGCTCACTGTGTTCGTTGACAGATTCTATTTTTTAAAGTCTCTCATTCTCTTGAGTTTTGTGGCAACCTCGCTCCAAACACAATGTTTCAACACTTTGTAGATCCAAACAATGATGTACTTTATGTGGACCAGGTGAGGTTTCATTTTAATTGTTTTGTTTAGGCTCTTGATAGTGTGATTGTTCTTACTCTTCTCCATATAAGATTTATTGCTTTCCAACTCTATACGCACTAATGCAATTTCTGGTGATAAACAACTATGTTTTACTTGATTTGTACATAAATATTTCTTTTTGATAAATGTTGGTAAATTTAACAAAAATGTAAAACTGGACTTTTTTGGTGGTCACTTCACAAGATGATTGTGTGAAAAAATCTATACTTTTTTGGCAGATGCTTGTGAATGTAGAATTACGTTTATTGAGCTGACAATATAAACACGCACAGTGACCTTTAGTATTTTCTTCTCAACTTTTACAAAGTGTCTATATTTTCATCCTATAGCCTAGTTTTGGGTTCTTATTACCGCAACGTTTCATTAGGTATCAGGCATGGAACTAAACTTCAGAACAATACATGGGATTTCTTTTTCTCAATGATAAAACTACTTTTATTTTGTCTTCCACAACTCAAAACGGCCCCTCCCCACTCCCTCCCTTGTAAAGACGGAAGTACTGGGCCTCACCGTGGCACAAGGGTGTAACACTCTGTTCAAATCAGCAGGGTGGCTAAGAAAACGCTGATATGTCTAGCAATAGCCTACTTTCTGGTTTGAACTTAGTGGCTAACACAGTACTACGCATAATAAAAAGAAATACGTAACTGGTAGCTTCTGAATCAAAAGGAATCTAACTTTTTTTCAACTTCTGCCCGTTCCTCCAAAAGGAATTGGAAAGGAGAGAAGAGGGAGATAAGGGGATGGTGGGGGGAGGGGGTGACAGTTCAGCAGGCATTGTCTCAAACTACTGTTTAATAAACCAACGTGTTTTAAAGCTTTTATTTGATTTTTTATTATTTTTGTGGAGTTTTCAGGTTCCTCATCCACTTGGTTGGCCCATATGGGAGATGGAGATGGCCTGATGATCTTCCAATTCTTATTTACCTTACGAAATATTTACCTTACGAAACGTATATAAGCTAATTGTTTTCTTACAAAAACGTATTTGTTATAATTAAATGGCAAAACATTGCAATACTGTAAACCTCTTACAAAAACGTATTTGTTATAAGGAAATGGCTTAGATAGATAGATAGATAGATAGATAGATAGATAGATAGATAGATAGATAGATAGATAGATAGATAGATAGATAGATAGATAGAAAAGATAATAAGTTAAAGTGAGCTAAGGAAATCAAATCTTTAAAAAAAAGAGTCTCTCCAGGACCTTTATGTAAAAGACAACGAGTATTAAAGGTTGGGGCGGAGAAACTCCTTTATATTATCGAGAGAGGTGTGCCCATAGTCTCCGGAGATTGCACTCTCCGGAGATTGCACTCAGATTTTAGAGCCCTATTATATTCCTTGTTATGTTTAACCATTTTAAACACAGTTGACATCCTTATTGCTATGGCCACTATCTCCCATTTTTAATATCTCTTTTTCTATCTGTCCTTTTTATATCTATCTGTCCTTTTTATATCTACCTCAACTGTCTCTCTCCCTCTCTCTATTTGTCTCATTCTTCATTTGTTACTGTCTCTTTTTTCTATTTCTCTTTTTTTGGGGGTTTATATCTAACTATCTAACTCAAATTTATTTGGTTTATATCGGTTTATATCTAACTCAGACAGACAGACAGACAGACAGACAGACAGACAGACAGACAGACAGACAGACAGACAGACAGACAGACAGACAGACAGACAGACAGACAGACAGACAGAGTGAATGAGATAGTGAGAAGGAAAAAGACATACAGAGAGAGATGTTTTAGAATCTTTTCTTTCTCCTAACCAACAACACATAGATCTGGTTGCTACAAAGGTGGACCACAAATCCCTCCTCCGATACCCTGTTTACTGCTATAAATCCCAAAGTCAATGGACTCGAGGACCAACGACTCTGGTGTAGCGGTTAAAGGGTCTTTGCAACTGCTCGCAGAAGACATTAGTTCGATAACCGAAAAGACAGACTGTTTATGAAGTAATGCATTCTGATGCGATATTGCATCCCGTCCTTATTATTTATTCTCCCCATTATACTTTTATCAGACCTGGTGGCTGGTAAGCAAGACAATATTCGACTAGACTCTGTGTGTCAAAACATGAACTTCCACCAACTTGTCAAAATGAAAACATGCTAAGACACTACAGTATAACATAATGTGCTTTTTCGTACTGGTTATTCAATTATAACAGCAGAAAATTCAAATACACAGATTTTACCAAAAAATCTTTGTTTTTACTTTAGAAACGGACAAATTTATTTAGACGAAGCTGGGCTCTTTAGAACGTTTCGTCAAAGAACGGTCCCTTAATCAGTATTATTGTTATAAATATTAGTATTATTATGTCCGAGCGATACTTAGAAACAGCTTTGGTTAGTCCTACATCTTCCATGGATGGATTTTCGAATTCTTCGGGATCTCAGGCGTGGTTGTATACTTTTTGGAATTCTCTGATTTATTCAGATACGACGCTGGGCTACTTTGGGATGTTCTGTATCTACGCCACTACACCTTTCTGTAAAGTTTGGGTCTGTGACATTGAGGCGACTGATTCCATTGCCTTCCGTTTCTTCAGCATCTAGATGAGGCTGTTGTATTGTAGTAGCTTTTCGTGATGACGTCTATTGAGTTTATTAGCACTCATTGTCCGTCATCTGCCGAGTACGGTGATTTCAACCCAAACATCGGCCGCAATCAATGTAGTTTACCTGTGAATAAACGAATGAAAAATAATAAATTATGTGTAGTTTTTTTTCATTTTGATTTGGAAATAAAACAAATCAAATCTTGAAAGGCTAAAGAAGTACAACGCATTAGATTATCGATAGAATCTCCTATCACGTCGATCTTTGGGCTCACACATGCATCTACAGGTCTTAATCAAGGATATGAATACACATGTATTTAACAAGAGAACTAAAAAAAAAAAAAAAAGGACACCGTTTGCATCCTATGGAATGTGCATGTACTCTTAAAACGAGAGCCCCTAAGTAAAACAAAGTCTAAAGATAGAATCG